TCCCTTTGTCTGAGACAAGAGTGTCAGGGAGCCCGTGGGTTGCAAACAGCCTGCATAGTACCCGGATGGCTGCGGACGTGGAAGTGGACGGTACCAGTGCGACTTCCAGCCATTTGGTGTAGGAGTCCACCACTATGAAGAATGTTTTCCCCTGGAAGGGGCCAGCGAAATCCACATGCAGGCGTGACCATGGTGCTCGGGCGGACTCCCAGGACTGGACTGGGGCCCTTGGGGGATCTGGGCGGGATTCTTGGCAGGCCTGGCAGTGTTTGACCCAGGCCTCTATCTCTCCATCGATCCCCGGCCACCACACATAACTCCTGGCCAGGGCCTTCATTCTTACTACCCTGGATGTGTCTCGTGTAGGGCTGTGAGGACCCTTTTGCGGAGGGGCTGGGGAACAACGACCCTGCTTCCCCATAACAGGCACCCCTTGTGGGCCGACAGTTCATATTTGCGGGTTGTGTAGCTGGTGAATTCTGGCCCGGGGCTGCTGCTGGGCCATCCCCTCCACACTCAGTCCAGGACCCGGGAGATGACCCTATCTTTCTTGGAATGGTGTGCAACTTCTTGTGCCTGAATGGGGCGGTCGGGAAGCAGCTCCAGGCTCATAACCTCTTGTGCAGGTGCTGGGTCAGGGCCTGTTTCCGGTAGTGGTAGCCTGCTGAGGGCGTCCGCATGGCCCATCGCCTTCCCAGGTCGGTGAATCAGTGCATACTGGTAGCTGGCAAGGAAAATTGACCACCTGAGGATGCGAGGAGACAGCACTTGGGGGGTCTGCTTTTCGGGGGCGAACAAGCCAAGCAACGGCTTGTGGTCAGTCACCATGGTGAAGGGCCGCCTGTACAAGAAATCATGGAATTTTTTTACTCCCTTCACGATTGCCAGACCCTCCTTGTCGATTTGTGAGTAGTTCCGCTCGGTTGCGTTGAGTGCCTGGGAAAAGTACGCCACCGGTACCTCTCTTCCATCCGGGAGTTGGTGCCCCAGGACAGCGCCAATGCCATAGGGTGAGGCGTCGCATGCTAGCACCACCGGCAGCCTCTCGTCAAAGTGTGCCAAGACTGAGTTTGAGACAAGCAAGTCCTTGACTGCCTGGAATGCGGCCTCCTGGCTGCATTCCAGGGGCCCGCTTGTCCAGGAGTCTGTGTAGGGGCTCTGCTACCGCCGCCTTGTGGGGAAGGAAGGAATGGTAAAAGTTCAATAGTCCCAAGAAGGCCTGAAGTTCAGTCTTGCTCTTGGGCGCTGGGGCATCACAAATGGCCCGTACCTTGTCCCCAGTCGGGTGGACCCCTTCTGCGTCCACCATAAATCCCAGAAAGTCCACCAGAGGCACTCCTAGTAGACATTTTTCCCGCTTTACCTTGAGACCCGCCGTCTGGAAACGGTGCAGAACGGTGCGGAGGCGGTCCTCAAACTCCTCTGGTGTGGGCCCGGCAATCAACACATCATCGAAGAAGGGGGTGACGGCAGGAATCCCTTTAAGGAGCGAGTCCATTAGATTCTGGAATATGCCTGGTGCCACACTGACACCAAATTGCAGCCGCTTTACCCTGAACGCTCCTCTGTGCGTCACAATCGTCTGTGCCTCTGCTGTGGCCTCATCTACTGGCAGCTGTTGATATGCTTGGGCCAAGTCCAGCTTGCCAAAAATTTTCGACCCAGCCAGGGTGGCAAGGACATGGCTGACCACTGGCACTGGGTATGCGTGGGCCGTGAGGGCCTTGTTTATGGTACATTTGTAGTCTGTGCAGATGCGGACCGAACCATTAGGCTTGACGGGTGTGACGATTGGGGTTTCCTAGGGGGCATTAGGCACCGGCTCCAGCACTCCTTGCTCCATAAGTCGGTCCAATTCCTCGTCTATACGGGGTTTCAAGGCAAACGGGACCCGGCGGGCCTTGAGCCTGACCGGTCGTACTGTGGGGTCAAGCTGTAGCGCAATGGGGGGGGCCGTATACTGTCCCAATTTCCCATCGAAAACCCCTGGAAATTCCTTGCATATGGCGTCCACGTCCACTTGTAAGCTAGTGTGGTTCACCCCGGTGACAGCTAGCCCCAGTGGTCCAAACCATGCCAATCCCAGTAAACTAATGTAGGAGCCCTTGACCACAAGCAAGTCCAGTTGCCGCGTCCGCCCTCGGTATTGCACCCTGAAGGTCCCCACCCCCATTGTGGGGACCTTACGTTTCTGGAAGTCCCGTAGGGTGAATGGGGCCGGCCTGAGTTTGGGACCCCCAGTAGGACACAGTTTCCTTAAGGTCCTTGCCGAGATTATGGATAGAGTTGAACCCGTGTCAAGCTCCATGCGGCAAGGGGCCCCCTCTATCTGTAAAAGGTAAAGGTACCCCTGCCCGTACGGGCCAGTCTTGACAGACTCTAGGGTTGTGCGCCCATCTCACTCTATAGGCCGGGGGCCAGCGCTGTCCGGAGAAACTTCCGGGTCACGTGGCCAGCGTGACATCACTGCTCTGGCGAGCCAGAGCTGCACACGGAAACGTCGTTTACCTTCCCGCTAGTAAGCGGTCCCTATTTATCTACTTGCACCCGGAGGTGCTTTCGAACTGCTAGGTTGGCAGGCGCTGGGACCGAGCAACGGGAGCTCACCCCGCCGCGGGGATTCGAACCGCCGACCTTTCGATCGGCAAGCCCTAGGCGCTGAGGCTTTTACCCACAGCGCCACCCGCGTCCTCCTCTATCTGTACCTCTACATAAATTTTCTCTACGTTGGGGTGGGGCAACTGGTATACCTGGAAGTCCGTGAGCTCCGTCGAGTTGCCTTGGTGCGTTGGGCCCCGGGACCTGGGGCTCTTGGATTGGTCATCTGCTGCCTGGCGTCGGGTGGGCCGAGCCCGACACACCCGGGCGATGTGTCCCGATTTTCTGCACTGCCTGCACTCTGCGTTGTGGAAATGGCAGGTCCTCCTCTCGTGACTCTCCCCGCAGCTTGCGCAGTTCCCTCCTTCTCATTGAGGCAGCTGTGGTCTGTGCGCTGCTTGAGTGCGCTGCTGTACTCGGTGCACCTCCTCCCTGTCGGATCCTGAGTCGTCGGTGAGGTCTTCATGGTGGACCCTCGGTTGGGATGGCAGGCTCGGCCGTGCCTCTTGCGTCGACCTCTCGGCAGCTTCCGTTGCCAGGGCCTCCTCCAGAGCGACCTGGAACGTTAGGTCCTTCTTAGCGTAGAGGCGTCGTTGCAGCTTCTCATCCTTCAGGCCACCGACGAGGCGGTCACGAAGCATGTTCTCCAGCTCTGAGAAGTTGCAGAACCGGGCGGCTTGGCGGAGAGAGGCCACAAACCCAGTTATGGTTTCCCCAGGGGCTTGCCGCTTTGTGTAGAAGGCATTTCGACGAGCCACCACTGAGGGCTGCGGCAAAAAGTGCCCCTTCAGCTGTTCCATTATTGTTTTGTATGGAACAGTAGCGACGTCTTCAGGCGCAAGGAGAGCCCGGGCGATTTCAAATGTCTCCTCTCCACAGACACTGAAGAATATCGCCCTCTTCTTGGCGTCTTCTTCGTCGGTGACCCCTTTGGCTTCTAGGAGGAAGGTGAAACGGGAGGCGTATGCTTCCCAGTCTCCAGATGCTGGGTTGAATGGCGAGAAGCTGCTGTTGGCTGCCATTCTGAGTTCCTTGTGTCCCGGAGCTGAAGCCTGGATACACGGTGCGAGGCAGTGGTACGGCAGGTGGCGGTGCTGCGGTGCGGTGTGTGGCAGTCAGCTCAGCGGGATCCCACCTTCGTCGCCAGTGAAATATACTCAGAGTCGCAAAGTGATTTCATGCTCTTTATTCAGCTCATAGTGGTGAGGAGGAATGAATGAAAGTCCCCTCACAGTATCTGCTTTATATACATTATTTACACAATAGGCTGCCCATGATTGGCTAATTCCGGAATTCTACTGTAAGCCAATCAGGTTGTGGATTCACTTCTATCTGGAGCAGGATTGGGTGGTTCCTGCCAACCAATCATACTGCTGCGTTGTTCTAGGACCAATCAGACTGCTGCATTCTGAATCCTATTGTTCTAGGACCAATCAGACTGCTGCAGTTTGGATCCTATTCAACTCAGTACATAACAGATAATGACACACAAAACGATGCCCCCCTACATACACAATTTAAAAGGCCATAGATGGTTTAACTATTCAAAGGTCTGTGAAAAGAGGAATGACCCCCCCCCCAGGACCTGATGATTCCCTGGGGAGAAGATTCCACAAGTGGGGAGCCATCACAGAAAAGGTTCGTTTTCATGTTGCCACTCTCTGGACTGCTCATGGGGGAGGTAAACAAAGAAGGACCTGATTATGATTTCAGGGTCCGGGTTGGTTCATATGGCGAGAGGTGGTCCTTGAGGTATTGCAGTTACGGGCTGTTGCTTCTTTCTATCTTCTTTTTCTTTTAAATCCTGTATCTGGATGCTGCTTTAGAGGCCCTCAACCTCTTATTTATGTTCCTCTATGTGCACTCTGTGAGCAGGATGCGCACTCTATGAGCAGGATGGAATGCATCCTAAGAGTTCCTCTTCTTCTCTCCAGCTTCTCTCAGGTTTCCTCTTTCTGCATTCGGCACAGAAATGGGTTGATCTCTGTGAAATGGAGACTGGAAGGGGGGGAGGAAGATGGTGGAGGGGAAAGGGGTGAATGTGAAAATTGGGTTGCTAAGGGGCTTACAACAAAGCAGGGAGGAGGATGCATGGGGATGAGGTTGAGAGCAGGGGTAAGAAAAGGGTGAATAGGAGGGGGAGGTGTGTGAAAGAAGGAGGTGCACCTCTACTTAGTAGATGGTGAAATCTATCCCCTGCCCCGTTCCTCCGTTCCTCTCTCAGCTGGTTTCATGGTATAGCCCCAATTCCTGCAGAGGCAGGTGGGAACTGTCTTGAAGAGGCAAGCTCAATGTAGGTCACTGCAAATCATCCCATATTTTTGAAGAAATGGAAGGTGAATCTTGAGCACAGGGGCTAAGAATGTGTGATTGCATCTTTTGGATTAAGTCTTTTGGAGCCATCATAACTTGGTTTCAGCCGAGGGTGCCATTTCATCTGGATGACTTTCTTCCTCTTTGAAAACATTCTGAAGTATGACTTTCATGCTTCTCCTAGGTTTGCCTCTCTTTGGTCTCCCAACCAGGAAATAGATCAAAGGGTTAACGCTGCTGTTCAGAGTGGCGCACAAGTAGCCATATTGTATGCGATGCAAAGTTGGAGAGTCAAAAATATAATGGCTTATGTAAAAGGCATTCAATGGAAAAGAAAAAGAAAGAAAGAAGAGGAGTGTAAGCAGGATGACCGTGATCAGCTTTCTCCGCCTTATCCGTTGTGTTTTAAAGCAGAACTTGATAAAAAGGATCAAAGTGGAGAAAGTCATGAGTGGGAGGCAAATGAAGCCGTTCACAATATACTGGTAGCAGCTTATATACTTGTGTTCCTTCTTAGCAGTCAGGAAGAGAATGAAGTGAATTCCAGGGAAAATGAAAGAAAATATCCATATCAAGGCACACAAAATGGTAGACAAATGTCGCGGCCGGTGGCATCGATACCAAAAGGGAAACAGGATGCAAACACACCTGTCGATGCTGATGGCCGTCAGCAGAAACTGACCAGTGTTGTACATGGATTGGAAAATATCTTCAAAGAATTCAAACACGATGCCTTCATCCTGTTTACGGTTTTGAAGCCAGCGTATTTCTAAAATAAAGTCAACAGCGAGTAAACCAAAGTCTGAAATGGCGAGGTTCAGGATGTACGTGGTGAAAGGGGTCCTCTGAATACGGAATCCAAGCAGCCAGATGACAGTTCCATTCCCCAAGCATCCCCAAATGCAAACTATAATTATTGATACACACACTATATACATTGTTACTGTCCTATATATAAATTCTGGGTCGTCATTACTGTGGCTGTTGTTGGAAGAAACACTTGCATTGGATGTTCCATAATATTCCTCTCCAGCATCCAAAGGGTACAGGAGCGTTGGGCTGAAACTTGCCATTGTGTTCAACTTTGGCTTTTGTGTTCTGTCTGGTGTAGAGATTCCTGCTGGGAGAAATGTGAGAAAAGGTCATGTTAGCCTTTTGCTAACAAGGTGAACAAACCATTTCAGTCTAGTCTTTCTTGCTTCAGTCTTTGAAACCACTGCTAAGGTGAAATGCTTCTTATTATACCCTCTCCAGCTAAAGTTGCATTTTCAGAAAGACACATAGAGACAATAAAGTTATCCTACCACTTTCCATTGTTTCATTTTTCTACCCCATTGATTGCAGAGGACATGAAGCTATCCCAATTGGACTTGCTGGCCTACTTTGAATGTGGCCAGCCAGGGCAGTAAAGGAGGCAAGATAGGTGAATGAATGGAAGGTTCTGAAACAGAAATCATGGAGTGATAGATGACAGTTTCACTCTTGCTGTCAATGTCTCCTTTCAAATAGTAAAATTTAGTTTTCTTTTCTCACTCTTAAAAAGTGTGTGTGTTGTTTTTGCTTGTTTGCAGTTCATACTATCCTGGTTCTAGGAGAGTTCAGTTTTTACCTCTGCAAGCAGTGAATTTTCTCCCTTTAATAGTATCCTAGTTCTATACTTGTAACCCAAAAGCCAGCTCTTTTTTTGCACTTAATCAACTGCACAAAGCTGAACTGGAATGGGAGTGCCCCATCCATCTCAAGACTGTCCCATCCAAAAATACCCAGAAGCAGCAATATTACTGGGGGAAACTTGGGGACTGCAAGGGTGACAGTCACCACCCTGCTGTGACTTTGATCCATGGGGAAATATCAGAGGAACACACTGTTTAAATGACGACAGCAGAGAAGGCAATTTGGAAAGGAAGAGATGAATATGAGCAAAGGCATTTGGAAATAATTTCCCTACATTCTGGATGGAGGTGAAGAAGTTAAGCCCAAAGCTTTTGTCTTTAAGGTGGGGTGTGGAGGAAGGGAGAATGTAATGTGGCCTCAAAGAAGAGGAAGAATGTCCTACCTTAATTCCAATCACAGATGTTTGCTCTCCTAGAATTCGAAGGTCTGAGCCAGTATTTCTTCTCCGCTTTCAAAACAAGTTGCCGATCCAGCTGTCAGCACTCAGCACTGAGCAGAGAACATTAGATAGAACATCATGTTGGTTTAGCAAGGGCGGGGCAGGTAATTGATATCCTGTTAAAATGTGCAAATCCATTAGCTGGTGTTTCAAAAAAAGGCGAGGTTTGGGTTAACTTTCTTTCCCGGTATGCATCAGGATTCCCCTTTGTGCGCTTCAAATTGTTTTGGTTGTAACTTAGCAAAGCCTCAGAAGATATTTGCAGCTTGTACTTGCAGATGTTTCAAGCTTAGTGGCATGTTGCATTAATAGTCAGATTCTGCACTGAATCAGCGACGACAATGGAGCTTTTCAATCTGTTGCATCTTCAGGCAGAGCTGTAAAAGGCTGTTGCCAGAAATCCTGGAGAACTCCTGTCAATCAGTGTTAACAGTACTGAACTAGAACCATAGAGTGGTAGAGTTGGAATGGATCCCAAGGCCCATGTAATCCAATCCCCTGTGGTGCAGGATAAAGCGTGTTCTCCTTCATGGAGAGCACATGTTGCAGTGGGGGCCACCAGAACACTCCAAAGTTGTGGGGCGGGCTAATTGATCGTTGGCCACTGATGCAATTGGGCTTCCCTTCTTGTTGGGATGAAGTTAATGTTGCCATTTGTTGATTGACATCCAGAAGTGCTAAAACTCCTTGCATGAGGCTAGGGCTTCCTCTTTTTACCCGTGCATCGGATTGCCCATCATCTGCTCTTGGGGCAGGGGCCCGGTAGGAATTTTGTCCATCTGGCTGATTGGCTGGGGCCATTTGGTTTTTGCCTACTGCGTAGCAAATCGTCACAACTTGTAAGGTTGCGGTTAGGCATTATTGGTTTATGGTTTGGTTGGTTGAGGGGCATGGATTGGCTGTGCCTGCCCCTCTAATGCTGCTGCAAAGGATTCCATTAAAGGAATCAGGGGATAACTATTGCTTGTCCACCCTGTCAAGGGGGCTCGGGCCATGCAAGAGCTTCTGGTTGCATTTGGGGAGGGCTGAGGGCAGGTCCCCTGCTCCGTTGCTACCCCCAAGTGTATTCCCCTTTTCTGACTTTCGCAGGCGTGCGGAATGTCATTCTGTCCCCCATGGGTGGGGGGAAGATAGTCACAACCAATGCCTAAGCAACCACTCACATTTTTGTATTTTAATAAAGTTGTGGCCAAAATTATGCCAAAAACCTTAAACAAAAATTTCTGTGTGATGCGTGAGTTATTGGGGTGGCCCTGGGGACCTTGACATGCAACTAGATGGAGTAATAAGTTTAACTTAGTATAAAGCAGCTTTCCTATGTTCCCACATTCACAGACTCGCACACATACATACCTTAAGAATTGAGCTGTGGACATGATGGAGGCCAAAACAGACTGAAGGAGAGATCAGGGCAAAGGAATTAAACCAAGGGCTTTTCTGCAAATGCTGCTTTTGAAGAGGAGTGTAGCGAAAGAGAGAGAGAAGCAGAGGCAGCACAGAGAAGGAGAAAAAAAAAAACAGGAAGGAAAGATTTCATGAATCAGTGCCAGCCCATTGAAAATGCTGCTTTAAAAGGATTCCAAATGATACTGCAAATGCTTTCTTGCTGCCTTGTTAAAACACCAGTTCCTGATTACGCACTCACATTGCTGTAATTCTATCCCTGCAAGCAGGTGCTTTATGCTCTTGCCCAATTTTATATACACTACATCTGGGATGAAAGAAGGCTGAGGGATTTCAAGCCTTAAACATCCTACTTCCAGCCAAGCATTTGATCACAGATGAGAGCAGACAGGTTTGAGATATTCAGAACTTCATACAAGACTCCCCTCTCGCAAGTGTGTTACGTGTCAAATGTAACCTGATCATATACTTGAGTTGGCAGAAACACACACACACACACACACACACACACACACACACACACACACCATAATAACATGGACTTGGTTCCTTAGAGCATGCAAAGGTTCCAGGTTCAGTCTTAGAATTTTCAGGTAGGACTGGGAGAACACCAAGCGGTGATGGGGGTGTCTTCCATCTTCTTTCTTGTAGGTGGAATCTTGTAGGAGGAATCTTCTTTCTTGTAGTTTGGATCCATTGCTCCGTGTCTGCTGCTCCAGAGAAGTGGACACGGAGCAATGGATCCAAACTACAAGAAAGAAGATTCCACCTAAACATTAGGAAGAACTTCCTGACAGTAAGAGCTGTTCGACAGTGGAATTTGCTGCCAAGGAGTGTGGTGGAGTCTCCTTCTTTGGAGGTCTTTAAGCAGAGGCTTGACAACCATACGTCAGGAGTGCTCTGATGGTGTTTCCTGCTTGGCAGGGGGTTGGACTCGATGGCCCTTGTGGTCTCTTCCAACTCTATGATTCTATGATTCTATGATTCAATTGTGTCTGTCTCCATGTGAGCCCATTGTTTCGTCTAGTCCTATAGGAATATGTGGCATACTTGGTTGGCGATGTAGTAGCGTTCTATATTGGGAATCCCCCCTCACCCCCCATGCCAACAAAACTCACTGCAGTCATCTGAAGGCAAGCAACCATGCTCTGGGCTCCCCACAACTTCTCTCACTGCCAACAAAAACTAATAAATGAATGGAGGGGGGAAACCTGCCCACATGATGGTGACACGAAAACCTCACACATACATTATGTCAAAGAATGAAAGCTTTCTACCCCCTTCTCCCCCCCTCCATGGCTCTTTTCTCTCCCATCTTCATATGGCCTATAACATTAGTGTCTCCCATTGAATATAACTGATCTGTAGAAAGGACTCTATGAACTGAAAGCAGAGGTGCCGCATGTATTTTTGTTAGCCAAAGAAATTTTAATAAAAGCAATTTTTAAAAATCTGGGCAAGCCACTAACAGTCAGTATAGACAATATTGAGCAAGATGGACCAGTCATCTGACTAAGTTTTGTTGCTGTCTACTTTCACCACCCACAGAAGTTCAGGGGCTAAGTGCAAGGAGAGATAACTTCTGTGTTGCACACACTAAGTTGTGATATTCCCTCCCTACACAGATGCATGTGGTACCTTCATTATGCACATTTTACCATGTACAGATCCTGCACCTCTTTATCCTGGCCTTTGACACCTGAAAGTCTGGTGTCAGGTGCTTTTAACATGCTTTATTAATAGTGCTCTACCACAAATGCTTTCAGTGAAAAGTCTATTTGATCCAGATGAATACATTTATGCAGTACTGATATTAATATAAACATTTGATATCATTAATCAAGAAACAGTCGGGTCTACAGGATGACACTCAAGTTGGATCTCTGTTGAGTTTCACAATTAATATTGCTTTTACAGTACTTTGTTCTTCGATTCAGGAAGTTTACCTTTCTCTAAACTCTCATTCTTATCCCAACTAATTGTTGCATTAAAACAATAATATCATAATAAGACAATCTCTTTCATGCATGAATCATATAAATACATTTGTTTGAAAAAAAAAAGCTGAAATGAGCATACACTATAATCAGAAGAGAAACGCAAAAGTTTCTGATTACTTTGAAGACATCATACCAGGTTTTGCTCCTAGAACTCTAGCTCCTCTGTATCTTCCTTCTCCTTCAAAAGAATCTGGAGTATGACCCATGTGTTCTGCTTAGATCAACCCCTTTTCTTTCTTCCAAACAGGAAACACATCAGTGGATGAAATATGATATTTAGACAGCTGCATAAGAACTAAAAATGTGTAAGAGCCGAATGAAGAAATGATCAGTTAAGAAAACCAAAATTAACGGGAAAGCTAAGTTAAGGAAGAAGCAGAGTACAAGCCAAATGGCTGCCTCCTCTGTTGTCATCTCAAAGATAGTTTTATGAACAGGATAAGAGTGGAGATAGTCCTTAGTGAGAGGCCACACACAGTGCTATTTTTTCCTAGACAAAGAGGTGCCAGAACTCGCCATGAATGCCTCCCTTGTTCTCTTATAATGGAAATGGCGCCCACCTGAGAGGTGCCAGAACTGAGTTCCAATGAGTTCTGG